CTGCAAAACATACTAACCTAACATCAGTACTACCTTATTTTCCGTTTCAGTCAGGTCAGTCCTTTGCTGTGTCCCGTCATTCATTCTTCTCTGGGGGTATCCCTGACTCTCCTCCTGTGCCCTGGGTACTGCCAGCCATTCTTGGACACATGGGTCTTCATTCACTCGTTGACCTTTCTGTTCAGTGTCAGCATTACTCATCACCCACCGTGAAGACAGTAGGTTGGCTGGTATGGATCAAGGCACATAATTTCCTTTTCTCATGTCTCAGGTCTTGAATATACTTTCATATGGGAAAAGTTCCATTGCCCAAACCAAACAGACAAGGGATTAATTATGGTATGTGAAAAATACTACCTGGTTGGCAGGATGCAATGTTGGCCAAAGTCTACTAGACATTTCTGCATACCACTGGAAAAAATCACTTAACGCTCTGGGTTTTGGGTGACTTTTTTGTTTGTTAGTTTTCACTGTATAATGAGAGCAAAAGAGTTCTAAGTTCTTTAGCAGTTCTAGGATATATAAAAATAAATTCCTTTATGACATCGAAGTTAAGCTTTAAGTAATCTCAGCCATTCAGGATAACTCTGAATCTGGAAACTGAATAAAAGCAAGGATCTGGCAGCTAAGAAGCAGCTTCTCATTATCCAGCAGGGATGGAACTAGTGAGGAAGTGCTGAAGAATCACAGATACAACTCAGACTGTGGCTGTATGGTTCATGAACAGGGGGATAACCGCAAAGAAAGAAAGACTTTTGTTGGCTGCCTTTCTTATAATGCCAGGACATCTTGGATATAAGCCAAGAAATATGGGAGGATTAAGAGGAAAAGGAGACAGAAGAATGAATAAAAAGGAAATCCATTGTTAAATAAGAAGAACTATTACTCTATAATCCTCTCAATAAATTCTTACATTTGATAGAATTCTACAGCCATTCCTTATAACAATACTAAAAAATGGAACTTATTTAATATTGGAATAGAAGTTTCTTCTAACCAATAGTTAACATTATATTTAATGGAAAAAAATAACAGAGTTTCCATCAAAATCAGAAAATAAACAGCCTGTTAGCACAATCATCATCATTATTATTACTATTATTATATTTTGTTTTAGAATACCTACTCAGTGTCTACATGGAACACAAAAAGAGTAAGCAGTGGATAAATTTAGATAAATATTTCAGTAATTCAAGAGGATGTGATTGAGTACCTCAAATTAAAGAAAACAGTGGTTAGAGTTAAATGACTTGAATTTAGTAAAGTAAGGGTGCTTAAAGTAAATAGCATATCTGTGCTCCATTAGTAGCTAAATTAAAAATATAAAGGCGCTCATGGTGGCAACCTATTACGAACTACCTAGACATAAATTTTAAAAGAATAAAAAAGGCGATGAAATTAGAGGGTCAAGGGAGTCTCTTAGATCCCCATAAACTCCAAAGGCTGTACTCTGTATGCTCCTTATAGGGCATTATTTCATTGCTAGTGTGGCTGGACGCATATATACACATGTGCTCTGTGTGCAGTGGTGTGTGCGCCTGTCTGTGGTTTATAAACATCTGGAAAGTGAGGGCAGTTTTACAGATTTTGAGACTCAAAGTGCTAATTAGTCACTACTGAAGTCTGAATGTCTCTTAGCGTTATCCATTCTGTTGCAAATTATGTTTTCCAAGTTCTCTTGCCCCCTGGCTTTTCAAGAAGTTTGGCCAGTGGGAGGCATTGACGGACAAGTAGGAAAGCTAAACTAATGGGAAACTAGGGTTCTCACTCTCTTACTTGGGCAGCATTTTTTGGCAGTGGCTGTCTCTGTCTCCCAGCTCCTGGGGCAGTCTCTGCAGTTCCATTCAGATGAAGCTAGCCTGGACACTTCGACATCCTCTCCTCCCTTGTCTTTCCAGTTCCTGGGATGAGAGTGGTTTTGGGGGCTTTTGCTGTTGCTAATCTGGGTTACTTCACTATTCTTTTGGTTTCTGAGCTCTGTTGTCACCTCTATTAAATTTCCTCTTTTTTAAATTCCAGCATGGCACCTCTTAACTGGACCCTGATTTAGAGAAGCCCACTATTGCCTTTCTTTTTAGAAAAAATCTATATAGAACAATATCTGGCACATAGTAAACACTCAGTATTGTTGATCAAATGCATTCTAAAACAACGAGGCTGAGGAAAAATGAACTGATCAAATTATTTTCAGATATTCAGTCAGCTAAAGCTAATGAAAAGATCTGCACCACACACATAATTAAATTAGATCACATGGATTGTGTTTATTTAGTCATTAGAAAAGAGATTGGAAGGTGCCTCTCTCTCTGACCCAGTGCTAATTGGAAGAGTAATGCAGAGGTGTGGCTCATGGATTTTTTGAAGTGTGCCTTTTCAAAATAAGATGTTAGGAAGTCAGCTTTGGGGCTGAGAAGCAGTTAGCAAAATAGGAAACAACTAGAGGGGGTGTGTGTGTGTGTGTGTGTGTGTGTGTGTGTGTGTGTGTGTGTGTGTCTTTTTTATTTTCAAAGTTCTCTCTCCTGTGTGTGTGTGTGTGTGTGTGTGTGTCTTTTTTATTTTCAAAGTTCTCTCTCCTGAACACTGTATTGTCTGAACACACATTGGCAACAAAAGTGGTTGATTTCAATTATCTGTCTATTTTTTATTTTAACAAAAGCAATATATCCTTGAGATAAAGAATATTCAAAGATGGTTGTGGCTAAAAACATAGTAGCTTCACCCAACTTACCTCCATCCCCACAAATGTAACCAAGGTAGATGATGCATTGTAACCGCAGGATGGTCTGTGCATATATTAAGAATATGCAAATTGCATCTTGCAGAATATACTCATTTGCAACTTCTTTTTTCTTTTTCTTTACTGAAGATTACTTAGACCTCTCTCTCTAGCAATTTGCAACTCTAGGCCATTTATTTCAATAGCTGCATAGTACTCTATTGTATGGATATAGCGTAGTTTATTGTCAGATTCCTAATTGATGGGCATTGGATTTTTGTCAATGGCTTCTGCTCTAGCAGATAGCAACTCAGACAAAATAAGAGGAGTTTGGTTGGTGTGTGTGTGTGTGTGCGCGCCTGCGCGTGCCACCATAGTTCCTAACACTCCTATTTTATATAAACATCTTATCTGCTAAAGTGGATAAAAACCTTAGTAGCTATGAATTCTTTGAGTTTTCAAATACAACTCAATATATATGTAGACATTTGATTCTGACATTTTAAAAAATCTTCACTGAAAGTTCTTTCCAAAATTAGTTTTATTGCTTGAGAACAGTAGTACTGTTCTATTGCTGTAAAGAGTTACAGTTGATCCTGAAGAAGTGAGATCACTGTTTTTTTTTTAATAATTGTACTCTCTTTGCCTTCCATTGTTGCCCCATTATTTTCTTGGGTTATTCCAGAGTAACGTTTAGATTATGAAACAGTTCAGAAGAGACTTCTGATGATAGAGTTTGTAGATTTTAAAACAAGGCCTTCGTAAGATATCCAAATCCAAAGTCTTTGAATTCTTAACACCATTAAAACAACAAACTGGGCCATAAAGTAAATTCTTGCCACCGAGTTGCTTCTTGTACTAACACAGAAATAAGATATTGTGAATGAATATTGACAAATCAACCATACCTGGCAATAGCAGGAAGCTTTGTTCTAGAAAGTTAGTGACTATTTGGGAAATTGTTACTTTGGCTTTTGAATTCAGTATTTCAACTCAGTAATGAAATATTTTAACTTTTTTGTTGGAAGATAATTATGTTACATTGCTCAGGAGTTTGTACATGATTACTCTGCCTTACTAGTAAGAAAGAGATAAATGATCCAAAAATGCAAGCTATCAACAGAAACTTCATGAGAAATGAAACTTATAGGAAAACTATAGAGGTTACCAATTTCTGCTTTTCTTGTCACCTACATGGGTAACAGCAGCTACATCTTCAGAAGAAGATAAAAACTGATGTATATAAATGGGTCCTCCCCAGGAAAAGATGATAATATCCCCATTTTGGTGAAGAAGGCAAGGAAATGCATAATTATCTTAGAAATGTTTTCTTCTAAAACCAGCTTTGAGTATGATTATTTTAAACGTGTACTTGTCCAAAACTCATCATCCCCCATGGTTCTTGAAAGCTGCATTTCTGGGCCTTCATTTCATTTTTAAATTTCATTTTTTAAGGCAGAAGTAATTCAGTTACTGCATTTATTAATAAAAGAAATTATTGAAGTGACCTTTATTTGTCCCAACTTTAATGTATTCAGCTATTAGAGGACAGGAGATGGTTCTTCTCCTCGGTCATTCTGGACAAGTGGGATTTTTATCCTTATATAGCAACAGTGTGGGAGGCAGTCTGCATTTTCTGAAATATGTGAGAATTTATTTTAAAGAACATTTGATTTTTAATATAAAAATGTAAATCTTTTGACCAAAGTTTATTCTTGTAATCTTTCCTAACTTACCCCTACTCATGAAAATGTATTTATATATATGTGCATGTTTCCTAAACAAGCACAATGCCCCAGCACAATATTTTTTGCTTTTAGCTTTCTATTGGAAGTATTTCTGTTTTTGTCCTTTCATTTTTAGTTTTCATTCATGTGAAAAGAAGTGTTGGAATAGTCTAGGAAAATGCATTCCATATTTTGATGTTTCAGCTAAAAAGTTGGAATTCGGATTCTTTGACATGTTTACAAAGGTTTTGAGTACTTTCAAAAATGTGTATTTTTCCGGGTGCCTGGGTGGCTCAGTTGGTTAAGCGACTGCCTTCGGCTCAGGTCATGATCCTGGAGTCCCGGGATCGAGTCCCGCATCGGGCTCCCTGCTTGGCAGGGAGTCTGCTTCTCCCTCTGACCCTCCCCCCTCTCATGTTCTCTCTCTCTATCTCATTCTCTCTCTCAAATAAATAAATAAATAAATCTTTAAAAAAAAAAATGTGTATTTTTCCATTTTCAACATTTACTTTGTCTTTGAAAGTGTAAAATTACTAGTTTCTTTTGAATTCTTTTAGGACAGTCCATTGGATTGCACATGGTTAAAGTCTATTAAAGTAAGTGTCTGTTAATTTTTTAAAACTTACATTAAACAGTTAAAATCTGTCTCCCTTCAGTCATAGTTGCTTACAATTATACAATAACAACTCCACTTAAAATTATGTGATGTGTTCTTTTAAAAATAAAACGTAATGGGATTAAATGAATTATTTTTCTTCATGAGAAAATCCTGGTATCAGATGATTTTTTTTTTTTCTGCTCTTTTTATGGAAAGAGTATTTGGGGTTACTAGTCAAAAAGTTTAAGCAAACACATAGAAAATTTATAAGGTTAACTACTTAGTGCTTAGTAGGTAAAGACGTTTTTGGTGATAATTTCTTGAATTATGGCCCAAAGTGAGGCTAAAATCATTAACCCTTGACACTTATATGAGGCAGAAGATAAAGAATCCAGTTTAGTGAGTGGGGATGAGTCAAAGGAAAGTTACCATTATTTCTCTGATAATAAACTACAAATAAGACTAGATACTATCCTCCTATGGCATGTTTAAAGACATTGTGTGTGTTCTCTTCCTCATATATATTCATGGTCAATATTTGATAAGTCAAATGATCATATTTTAATGTTACTCTCTATTGAATTCCATAAACCATTACTTAGAGGAAATCTTGTAAAAAGTAGGCCTAGAAATTCACTGTTTTAATTCTTCGCTTTTTATATTTGAAAAAATGTAAAACCTATTTTCTATTAGAAAGCTCTCACAACCTACATTTTGAAAAGATGTGATTACATTTAGTTCCTTTTTTCTTGCGGTTTTCTAAAGAAAAGTAGCAGCACAGTGACATTTTACTTAAATATTTTTAAGATTATTTTGTTCTTGACCCAACTTTCCTATTTTTTTTTTACTGTATTAACCCTTTATTTTATATTATCCTTGCTGATACTTTTTAAATATAAAATGTCTCAGAAAATTATAATATTAGGTCTTTTGGATGAAGGATAATCTTTCAAAACTTGATTTTTAAATGTGTGTATATGTTGACTTTTTTTTTAACAAGAGAAAACAAGTTCATTTACATGTATACCTTCTGTATATGTGGGAGATGTGTAGAAACAATGGGTTAACTCATTGATTTTTTTTTTTTTTTAATTTAAACCACATATCTGTCTTTGGGTTTTCTATAGATGTTTTAGCAATCAGGCATTAAAATCATAGCACTTGGTCATTGAGAAAAAGAATAATTGCTTAGATTCTAAATTTGTATGTTGGGAAATTGAAAGGAAGTTAACCTCTCAGATTTCTAGTTTCTTGATGTATGTAGTAAACATAGTTCCTGCATTGAACATGTTAAGAAGTATTGTACCGCCTGTGTACCCAGGTGTTCAAGGACATTACTATCACTGATGCTTAGAGTAATTTGGACTTTGAACTCCTAATGCCTTAAGTCATTGTAAAGGAAATACATAGATAAAATGGAAATTTGCCTCTATAGATGTATGTGTACACATATACATAGATATATGTATATATCTATAAATGTAGCTTCTGCCTACATAGTGGCATTCTGTGCCTCTACCCAATATTCCAACTCTTTTTTTAAAAGTATGGCAGAGGTGCATACTTTGATTTGGATTCTGTTAGAAACTATAACAAAAGACTTGTGATATGAAAAGATTCTGATAAACCTAAATAAATCAGTCTGGATCTAAAATAATCTGTCAAGGACCATTAGCTTACATGATCACTGTGGTTCCTATGCTGCAGATTTACAGAAACACGATTCTAAAATTTTTAGTGTTGAGTGGTTTTTCATTTGTTGACCATATTTTCTAAGTGACTTTTCCAAGTACAGTGGAGCCTTCATAGTTAAGCTCTTTGGAAAATAAAGGAAGAGTACAGAGCATGACAGACAGTGGCAAAGAATCAAGTTTTGAGTCCTCTCAAGTCCCCTAAAATCTTAGGAGATTTCTTACTTTTCAAAATGTATTTTATTCTTGTAAGAAAGATTCATAAAGCATGAAAACATTTATTTTTTTGTGGATTGGTTGTTTCTTTCCTGACAGTTCCAGTAAGATATGTGCATCTCTCTTTTTCATTTTTTCTTCTTTTGGATAATTACTTACCATATTGTTTTTAAGAAATTGAAGCACAATAACCTTCTTTTTAACAAATACAGATGAAAGACAAAACTGTTCTTCTACTGATAAAGTTTTCATGAAACAATAAATGGTAGAATTATGCATGCTGAAAGTTGTCTTCAGTGCTTTGAATAGCAGCAAGATCTAATTTCCCCACCAAAAGCCTTCATAATTAAAGGCAGTCTTAATGATTTAACAAAACTATTATAATAAAAATATTAAAAGAGATAACCTAAAGTCATTTAGTCTAAATTATTTTTATCTAAAAATTACAAAGTTTTTCATCAGATATTTAAATTTAATGATCAATATCAGTGTTTGGTTTATTACAAATAAAACAAATTTACAAAAGGCTGTCATATTATGCATTCAGTCACTTGTCATACAATCCTTTATTTTGGTTTGCCTGAGAGAGTTGTTTCAGAATCCATTTTTTTTATGCATGGAAATAAAATTTGGCCAATTTTAGATAAATGTTTATTTGTTTACAAAGATTTTTAAAGGTCAATTAGATGACTAGATGGATAGGAATCTTTTTTTTTTAAATCAATTTGAGCAAAATGAACCTTTTAAAAAAATGAGGATAACCTTTTTATTAGCTTTGCTCTTTAATTTTTTTTTTTTTTTTACATTATTTAGAGTGTGGATAGGATGGCTTTAGACTATCTATCTAGATTGAAATTGGGCATATTTCCTCAGTGGCACATATGTCACTGGTTTCTGTTGTTGAAGATATTCGGTGTTTCTGATGCTGATTAACTGTGTGAGTGTGTGATCAGAGCTAGTGAGTGAGTGGTTTTGATCTTGTCACTAACAAAAATTATACTTTGATTTTCTTTTTTAACATTTTGGCATTCTGAAGGTAACAGTAGAATTGTTTCTCTGTCTTGTGATATGGCTAATACCCTTATACAAGAAGAGCCCTTGCTGTGTGCCCTGTTGCTACTAGTTAGTTTTGTCATTTGGCTACGATTAAGCACAGATTTAATGCAGAATTAAAGGATGTCCTGGATGGTAACTGGAGAGAATCAGAGAGATTCTGTGTGCTCTGTGCTTGTGTATGAAACTGTTAGGCCTCTCTACTTAACTATCTAGCAAGAATGTCAAACCTCCCATATCCGTCAGTGGATTAAAAATGCCAATCCATGGCATATTGTAGGTAAATAGTACCTGGAAGCTAGAATTTCAAAGACTTTCAGCTTTGTAGCACTCCCATAGATTGGCGCCCGGTGACCTTTGTCCCTTTTTGGAACCTGCCCAGGTGATGCTCCTGTAAAACCTGCAGCACTACAATCCATCTGAATGCCTGGTTCCTTCGCGTGCCTTCCCCATCTTGGTAGGTAGCACCAACCCCTGTTGAATTTCCTAAGCCAAAACCATAGGAATTATCCTGGATACCCTTTGTTCCTTCACCCTCCACAACGAATTCCTGACTTCTAAATATCTCTGAATTGCTCTCTGCCTCCACAGTTTGCTCACCCAAACTGCACTGAGCACTGAGAGTCTCCTCAGGCATATGTAACTTCCATTCTTTCCCCCTCCAACCCACACTCCACATAGCAGGTTTTTCTTCTTACTTGGAACTTTTCAGCATCTTTCCATTTCTCTTAGAATAAAAGCTGTTTTTCATTCATAGTTTTAAGTCCCTTGCTTGCCCCCTTCCCTGGACATCTTTCCTGGGTATCTGACCACTTCCTCTGTCTCTTACTTCAAGTCTTGATTCAAATGACCACTGTCACTAATCCTTCCATTACCTCCTATTTAAAAGTACGGCTACTTCATTGGGCTGGCTGGTGATGAGGGCAAGTGTGGAAGCAGGGAGACAAGTCTGAAGACTTCTTGAGAGTTGAGGCTAGAGATGGGGGTGACTTGGAGTAGGTTTGTGATATAAGAGAGAAAGTTCTGGAAGTTTAGTGAAAAGTTCTCACTGATGGATTGGGTTTGGGGTTGATGAAAGAGAGAGGGTTTTTGGGTCTTGAGCTCCTTAGTAGATGTTGATAGTGTAATGACATAGGGAAGACTGTAAGAGGCGATGGCTTTTTATCAGAAAGAGAAATTAAGAGTGTTGTTCTGGATTTGTTAGATTTAGATGTTAAGTGAAGATTTCAAATACACTAATGGCCATGGGGACCTGTGTTTGGAAATGGAGGTTTCATAGTGATTGCCATATTGACATATGAGATTTCATAAAAGAGTATAAACAGAGTAGAGGGTGCATGACTAAACTCTGAGGAATTTCGGTACTGAAGGCTTGAGCACAGTAAGTAAAGTCAATAAAGAACACTACCAAGAGTATAGGCAAAACACCAGGCAAGTATGGTGCTCCAGAGCTCAAAAGAAACAAATACTTAAGAAGTGATTGATTGTTCAGGGCGCCTGGGTGGCTCAGTTGGTTAAGCGACTGCCTTTGGCTCAGGTCATGATCCTGGAGTCCCGGGATGGAGTCCCACATCGGGCTCCCTGCTCAGCAGGGAGTCTGCTTCTCCCTCCGACCCTCTTCCCTCTCGTGCTCTCTATCTCTCATTCTCTCTCAAATAAATAAATAAAAATCTTTAAAAAAAAAGAAGTGATTGTTCAGCAATATTATGAAACATCAAAGAAGATGAAAATAAGCAAGTAAATAATGGATTGGCAGCAATCATTGGTGGTCTTTTTTTTTTTTTTTTTATCCATCGGTCGTCTTGATAGCAGAATTCTCAGTGGCCAGTATTGTGGTCACTGGTTCCATGTGGCTGTTTAAGTTTAAATGTACATCAATTCAAATAAGATAATCCCTTGGCACACTAGTCATATTTCATATGTGTAACAGCCACATGGGGCTAGTGGCTACCATATTGGACAGTGAAGATGACTAGCATTTTCATCATTGCAGAAAGTCTGTTGGGTAGTACTGCTCCAGAAGGCAAGTGAAGCTCTG